GTCTCCAAGGGTGGGGCCAGACCCTAGGGACATCCTGGAAGCAAATGTGCATTCTTCTCTTTATACTCAGCAATTGTATATATGGTTATATGGTGGGGATCTCAACCATTTCCAAGTAATGCATTGTATTGGCCCCATCCCTTAGCCCGGGGGGGTCAGCCTCACCATTTGTACAATTTTGAATCCCTGCCTCCCATGAATACTTCCAACCAAATATGATCAATATCCATGGCATAGTTCTGCAGAAGAAGTCATTTATAGCAGTATAGCCAAATACCCTTTTTGGCCCTGCCCCTCAGCCCCCTGGGGGGTCAGCCACACCATTTGTACAATTTTAAATCCCTGCCTCCCAGGAATGCTTTTGATCAAATATGATTGATATCCAGTTCACAGTTCTACAGAAGAAGTCGTTTGTAGCAATATAGCCAATGGCCCCCTTTTGGCCCCGCCCCTTAGCCCCCTGGGGAGGCAGCCCCACCATTTGTACAATTTTTAATCACCATCACCTAAGGATGCTTCCAGTCAAATATGGTTGATATCCACTTCTTAGTTTCAGGGAAGTCGCTTAAAGCAATATTGTAAAATTGACCCCTTTTTGCCCCGCCCCTCAGCCCCCTATGGGGTCAGCCCCACCATTTTTACAATTTTTAATCACCATCACCTAAGGATGCTTCCAGTCAAATTTAGTTTAATTCCACCCAGTAGTTAAGAAGAAGTCGTTTAAAGAAATTGTTGACGTACGTACGGACGGACGACGGACGCCACGGTATGGCATAAGCAACCCTTGGTCCTTTGGACCAGGTGAGCTAATAATTATATTACAGCCAGTGATGTCAATTACAGTANTGACACCTAGGGATGCCTCCAGTCAAATATGGTTGATATCGACTTCATAGTTCCAGAGAAGAAGTCACTGAAAGANATAATTATATTACAGCCAGTGATGTCAAGTACAGTTTATATATAATTTTATTACAGCCAGTGATGTCAAGTACAGTTTATATATAATTATATTACAGCCAGAGATGTCAAGTACAGTTTATATATATNCAGTTCCAGAGAAGTCGCTGAAAGCAATATAGCCAAATTGTCCCCTTTTTGCCCCGCCCCTCAGCCCCTGGGGGTTTAGCCCCATCATTTGTACAATTTCGAATCCCCACCACCTAGGGATGCTTCCAGTCAAATATGGTTGATATCCACTTCTTAGTTCCAGAGACCTTCGGACCAGGTGAGCTAATAACAATGTTTAGAACGAGCATTTGTACTAGCTATGTTTTTATGTTGTTATACCATTGGAGTAACATACCAACGGTGTTGCTTTGTTACACTTTTGAATGATATCGTAAGGGAAGGGGTTAAGAATGTCGAAAGTCTAATGAATGTCGAGTTAAATAATGATAAGGAGTACCCATTTTGCACATGCTATAACTCTACTTAAGCTGTGACCTTGACAATAACGGTGGAGAGTTTGAACTTTAGTTGTGACTTTGGCAATAGCAGTGGAGAGTTGGAACTTTAGCTGTGACCTTGGCAACAGCAATTGAGTGTTGGAACTTTTGCTATGACCTTGACAATAGCGGTGGAGAGTTGGACCTTAGGCAGAAGGTGACATACTCTTTCCCTGTCACAAAGTTATTATACAAGGGGGAGGGGTTACACAAGAAATTTTAAGGGTGATGAAGAGAAAATCTGCTCTAATACCTAGATTTGCAAAGAAATACACGATGGTTAAGTTGATATATCCTCAATTTATTCACAGTTATCTGGAAACAGCAAGTGGTAAAGGTAATACACTGTACCTCTGAAAGTGTTAAATATTTTGCAACCCTAATATTTTGAGGACACAACTTTCATTTTGGCCTATCCTCTTAATCTCAGACTTACCTGTACAACTGTATTGAGTGCTTTGTTGTTTCTTGTAATCTGTGGTGTTCTACAACTTACGTACGATAAGGTGCATGCATTTTACACTGTAGGAGATTTACGGTAATTGGGGAACGTTAGTTTTAAGTTAAGCTTTAAGGATNACAGTTTATATATAATTATATTACAGCCAGTGATGTCAATTACAGTTTATATATAATTATATCACAGCCAGTGATGTCAATAACAGTTTATATATAATTATATTACATCCAGTGATGTCAATTACAGTTTATATATAATTATAATACAGCCAGTGATGTCAATAACAGTTTATATATAATTATATTACAGCCAGTGATGTCAAGTACAGTTTATATATAATTATATTACAGCCAGTGACGTCAAGTACAGTTTATATATAATTATATTACAGTCAGTGATGTCAAGTACAGGTTATACATAATTATATTACAGCCAGTGATGTCAATAACAGTTTATATATAAATAAATTACAGCCAGTGATGTCAAGTACAGTTTATATATAATTATATTACAGCCAGTGATGTCAAGTACAGTTTATATATAATTATATTACAGCCAGTGATGTCAAGTACAGTTTATATATAATTATATTACAGCCAGTGATGTCAAGTACAGTTTATATATAATTATATTACAGCCAGTGATGTCAAGTACAGTTTATATATAATTATATTACAGCCAGTGATGTCAAGTACAGTTTATATATAATTATATTACAGCCAGTGATGTCAATTACAGTTTATATATAATTATAATACAGCCAGTGATGTCAATTACAGTTTATATATAAATATATTACAGCCAGTTATGTCAAGTACAGTTTATATATAATTATATTACAGTCAGTGATGTCAATTACAGTTTATATATAATTATATCACAGCCAGTGATGTCAATAACAGTTTATATATAAATATATTACAGCCAGTTATGTCAAGTACAGTTTATATATAATTATATTACAGTCAGTGATGTCAATTACAGTTTATATATAATTATAATACAGCCAGTGATGTCAAGTACAGTTTATATATAATTATATTACAGTCAGTGATGTCAAGTACAGGTTATACATAATTATATTACAGCCAGTGATGTCAATAACAGTTTATATATAATTATATTACAGCCAATGATGTCAAGTACAGTTTATATATAATTATATTACAGCCAGTGACAAAAATATGACATGGGTATATTCACTGGATAACAGTTACATTTTGTGATTAACAGTTATATCAGTTGTATCGTACACCCATGAATGATGTCAATTACAGCTTAAAGCCACTGATGTCAATTACATGTACAGCTTATAATACAATATGTACCTAGTAGAGTATATACATTATGAAGTGATACCAGGCCAGTTTGATATGCAATATTTTCATGTCCTATTACAGTCTGGGTTTTTTTTAAACATGTATAGCTTACAGATGATGTCAGTTGCAGCTGTCAAAGCCCTGGTTAAATCTGTTAGCAAATGATGTGCTACATCAAGCATTCAATGAATTTGTGTAAGCTTCCAATTGAAGTCAGTCAATGACATGCAGTTACAGCTTACAACCAGTGATACCATGCAGTTACAGTAACACTTTACATGTAAGATATTTGTGTTTTAACAAACACCTTTATTATTTACAATGCTCACCATCTCAACTTTATTTACATATCTATTTTCATGCATGCATAAACGCAGGTGATCATGCAGATCTAGACATACTCAATAATTTTCCTGATTTTTTTTTATTATATAACTCAACTGTAAGCATGCAATGCTTTCATAACCCAATAACCTATATACATGTTTATTTAATCGTGTCGACTGCATTTCGGGTCGACTTTATTTCTTTTGATTTCTTCTTCAAGAAAAATACTACAGCAGCTTATCAAAACGTCGATAACGATCCCGTGTATCCCTAGCGCCTTGTGTGCCAGTGCTTACGACCCACAATGACCTATTGTTATCTTTCGACTATCAACGATCGCGATGACCAGCAGATGATCGTGTCCAGTGTTTACATACGTTGATATACCCTTAACTTGACACCGGTTATCTAACAAGTCATTCGTAACTACAGACAATATTGCTATTTCTTACCTCCCCCGTTGCGACACTCTTCACGAGATTTTTCGCTATTTTCCCCACATCTGGATCCATTACGACAGTCTCCGTGCTACGATCGACTCGCTGCTGCAGCCTTCTTAGTGACAATCGCACCCCTGCTTCGCTTAGTTTGTAAAATGCCCACGACAATCCCACGAACCACTCAAATAGCGCCGTAGCCATCACGTGCCAGTTAAATGTGTGTGATTGACATAGAGGTTATGCTTGTTTATTTACCTTTTCAATCGGTGCATTGGCAATTTCTGTATACCATAATTTACTTCCGGCTAGGTTAGTTCCTATTTTAGTGCAATTATTTCATGCCACGTTAGAGTTTCAAGCACACATATATTGTCCTGTTGTCTGTAATTGTTCCAATATTCCGGATACTTCAAATTATCTCCTATCATATTTCTAAGTTGGACTGTGTCTCAACCCTGAGTCTAGTTAAATTTAATTGATTGTCATGGTCGGGATGAAAATCACAAAACTAAAAATAAGATATCCGGGTGTTTTTTGTGACCTGGCAATTAAAATATGCCGGTTAGGTAAGTAATGTCACGGAATTTATCTAAGTCCGTGGTAATGTACATGAACTCGAGTAAAACTTAACCCGGCCTTTGTCCAACATATGTGAAAACACTCAATATTGAGATAATTACCATATGAAGAAATATATACAGAAATATACATTTTGTAAATTATCTCAATTGGTCCAAATGTTACATGATTAGACAATTCAAAATTTCAATTAAATTTGAAAAATGTTTCAACTTTTAAGATTTTCTTCTGCAGTTTTTTACGGTCTTAAACTATCATTTATGAATGATTACCCATGTCTTGAAGGTTAGAAGTGAAATCTAAACAGAAATTTCATTTACAAGATTCATTCAGAAAATATCAATACGGCAAAGGCAGAGGCTTATTTGGAGAAAAGATAACTCTAAAAAACAAATACGTGAAGTTTTCGTATGAAGGTGATCATTTTGGAAACCAAAAGCATGACTGATATCACGGACTTGAAAAGCAATCTAATCTAATTGCATATATTCAACTAATCATACATTTTTAAAACTTTAATTGAAACAAATTTAAATATTGTGGATCCCATAATAATATATTTATTTACGTTAAAGTATGTGAAGATCTGGAGACTGATGGCCTTTATTTCTGTATCTGAGATCAAAGGGCAGGTCAGGGGCCGTGATGACTACATAATGATATGTTACATATGAAAAGCTGGACGAGCTATGTTGCGGGAATCTGTCTAATGACGTCACCTTGTACAACGTGGCATGTACGTCTGTGAACGTGGTAAGTGACGAGTTTATGGGTTTAGATCGACTTTCGGTTATCAACGTTAAAACCAGTGACGCCCCAAATAATTATATATACCAGATAATCATTGGGGTGTCATTTTTACCGAAAGTCAATCTAAAATCATAAAAAATGACGATCCCAATGCTCATATATGATCAATCATTCATTGAGGGTGTCATTTTGTACCCCTCCCCCCCCTCCCCCTCATCCCCTCTTCATGATCATAATTTATCATCGAGGGTGTAATTTTTATCGAAAGTCGATCTAAACTCCTAAAACATGTAAAAAAAATACTCTGAACACCTTAGTTTAGGTCAAAATATATCTGCAACAAAGTATCATGTCCCTGTGATAAAATCTACTTCACGCTGAAAAAAATTGTCCAGAATTTACGATATAATAGCATGTATGCATTAAGAAATCTTTAGCTACATATCAAACTGAAATGGAGGAGTATGACAGAGATACAACAGTAAGGACCGGGGAAGTTTGAAGTCACTTTAAATTTAGTCTTTCAAAATGCTTTCGGGCTTTACTTTCAGCACGGAATTAATTTTTTATCTAAGTCCGTGCTTTCAGTGATTACTCGAATTATGCGACACTTAGTTACCACAAAACTGATGCGAGTTCTTTAAAAGGAAACAAACAGATTTTTCTGCATAAACGAAAACACCAGGCGAGTCGAGGGGATTATACTGCAACAGGAGAAAGAGAAATGTAACGGCTAGAGTAGGGCTCGAACCCGGACACTCGGAGTTCTGGACGGGCGGTCTCTACCAATTGAGATCGTGGTCGCCGACGATCGGCCTAGCCCAGTTCCGCTACGTGAAATATTAACGGACAGGCCCAGCTGAATGACGCACTGAAAAACTTACATCATTAATATTTGCATAAAAATGATAAAAATAAAACTGCAAGACAAAACACAACAAAAAACTGGCATCAGTTAAAAGCGTAAAATATCGTATTATTTAAAAACTGACGGATGCGTCATTTATCCTTGCCACTCCATAATCCGGGTACACTGCTATTTAAAGGACGTCCGGTAAAGATGGGAACTAAGCCGATGACGTCAGTGGATTATTAATCTTATCAAATAGACTAAAAATATAATATCAACCGGACCCTAGTTTTATGAAATGTCAAATAAGAATTTCAGCATTGTCTGTAGCTAATCTGTTCTGAATACAACATGATGTCATCTATGTAAATTAACTCGGCTTAGTTTTTAGGAAACGTTTGTCAAAATTGTCAACATATCGCTCATGTAGCTATTTTGAATAACATCATTGGGTTCCTGGTCATATTCCATGAAACTCTAACGCGAGTATAGGAAATGAATTACCTGACGAAATTGAACTGTCTGATGTCAGTTCCCATGATAATCTCTCTCTCTCTCTCTCTCTCTCTCTCTCTCATTAGTAAAATTAAAGATGACGTCACCTCTATTGTACCCGTTGCGTCATATCGCTGTACAAATCAGAGAAAACTGGACAAGTTCCGCCTATGTGGACAGCATTATAATTGTTGAAATGTTTTTTGTATGCATACGATTCGAAAGAAAAACATCATATCTTTCATCACGGCCTTATATAGCATCTAATTCCGTGCTTTCATATTCAATATTTACAAAGGGGCAAACATGAACAGTAATAACATTTTTTCTGTGGGGAAAATTTGGTGGCTGAACGTACCCCGACTTGGAGCAAGTTCGGGAAGACAGTCTGAAATAAGATATATTATGACGTCATAATATTGTTCAGGTTTCCCCTTTTGTAAATATTGAATATGAAAGCACGGAATTAGATGCTATTTAAGTCCGTGATGAAAGATATGATTTATTTATTTCGAATCGTATGCATACAAAAAACATTTCAACAATTATAATGCTGTCCACATACAGGCGCGTAGCTACCATGTAAGCCAATAAGCCCGGGCTTGCACATGATTTTGACAAGTATAGGTTTTCATGACATTATTTTTTCTTGCTGATACTATAAAGTGGAGTTTAAGTTTTGAATATATAGTATACATATGTAATTCCTCAGATATGATACAGTGTTAATAGTTAGTACAAAAATATATGAAGTTTAGAAATGTCCATTGCATTAATGGACAGTTCCAGGCGGAACTAAACTGCTTAATTGAGTAAATTGAGAAACTCACGCCCGGCGCAAACGACTCCGAGTATGGCACAGTAGACACAGACAATCAATGTGGTGTTTTTTTAAGAAAATATCAATTTGGGGCACGTTCGGCCCCTTTTGCCGGGGCACATTCGGCCACCCCGAATGCAACTGTTATTGTGCCAAGTGACGTCACTATTGATAACGTCACCCAATTGACCACAAAAATAATATTTTTACGTCGCAAAAATTAAGTATTTTTTTCTTTGTATTCACTGATTTGTTCTGGACTTATTTTCCAACAGAATTGAATGAAATTCCATACACTTATTAGTAAATTGTCTTCTCTATCCTTCATGCCATACTTGCCCTGGTAGGGGCCGGATTTACCTCAGGGCGGGGCTCGTCCGGCCCCCAACTCTCTCGACCTAAAAAGTCCAATAATTCCCAAAATATGGTCTTGTTTACGATTTGGTTATTAGTTTATGAAAGACAATACATTTCTTTTCTAAATGACATATATAAATATGCATTTCAACAGTATAGTACATGCCTTCCTTAACGTCTTGAAAAAAGAAAAGGGGCCGTGTTTGCCCCGGTCCCCCCTACACATGTATTATACATGTGTAGGGGAGACCGGGGCAAGTCGGCCCCTGTTTTAAAACTACATCGTTTATATTATAAATTACAACATATCATTATCTCAGACATCAGGACGTGGGAAATGGCTCCTGAGACGTTCTAGAAAACAAAATGTTCATGGGGGAGACCCCCCAGACCCCCCTTACGGGAGGGGGAAGACCCACTCCCGTACCCTCCCCCTGCTCGCGCTTCGTTGAGGGGGGGAGCGGGGGGGGGCCTGCCTTCGGCAACCCCATGTCGGGGCTTACACATGGTAAAGGGGCTAGCTACGCGCCTGACATAGGCGGAACTTGTCCAGTTTTCTCTGATTTATACAGCGATATGACGCAACGGGATGCAACGTCAGATTTTCACGCCGACTTAACACTTGACTCCTGGGCCGAATGTGCCCCAATGTCATTGGCAGAACCAGTCCAAGATTAATATTCCAATTAATCTATATATTACAATACTGCTAGCAATAAGTTAGCAATTACGGTTTTACCAAACTGTCGAATATAACCGTTACCGGAAAGAAGTGTTATTTATTTTATTCTTTATTTTCGCCAAAAGTAATGTTCAAGCTCCCTTTTATTTTTTATTTTATAATTAAGTTTTCCTCGTCATTCGGATTTCCATTGATTCAAGTGAGCTGTCTGCAAAGATCCTCAAACTTGTGAATTTTCCAAAATAAGCGACACGGTGATTTTTTCACTTGCTATGACCTTGTTCCGACTTTCGGCTTCTTTTGCTTTGTGTTGATTATATCAAAGCACGGAATTAGATAAGTCCGTGATCATAGTAGCAATTTTTAAAATTAAGACCTCAGCTTCTATTACAAAGTACCGGACAGAAATTCAGAGTAATATTTTAGCACCAACACCGATTGCGTAAAAGGGGACCATTAATCGAAATAATTGTATGTGACACAGGTAACTTTCAATAAAGGTGTTCACTTCCCACGACACTTCAGAAATGCGTATCTAAAACATTTTAGAGCATACATTATCAGAAAAAACACGATTAGTATCAGCCTTTATAATGAAATAAAGTAATACGTTTTCTATCATAGCGGATATCTCCCTCGATAGGGTGTCCGTGTTGCGTGTTAACAGCAGAAGGTCAGTCAGATTACGGTCTGTTCACACCTTTCAGCCGTGGTGGTGTCCCTAACGCATGTACACGGGTACCCATAGGGTACCCATATATGGTGTGAGGAAACCATGACAGAGACTGGTACGTAGGCTAATTAACGTAATGCAGATGCTAATTGTTACACAGAAGACAATAAATGATCAGATGTGTAAATGTAACGTGTATTAGATTTAATTATAGGTCGATATAGGTATTATACTAACATCATCCTATACTCTTGTGTTAACCCAGAGACGTATATAACACATATATACGTCTCTGGTTGGCCAGCACCTGTACGTGCTTTGAGTTTGGCATGTTGTATCTTTGTCAATCTCTATGCCTACCGTTGTCTTAAAATGCAGTAATTTGAGTTGACAGCTTTAATTTGATGTCACACGGCCAGGTTTATGCGGTTGAGTAGGTTAGATGCACTATTTATTTAAACTTCTGTAATGGCACGAATGTTATTGTATCATGGAGGAAAATATTTACAGAACAGGTTCATGATATTATTTTTATTTACAAGGTTCTGATTCCAACACGTGACGCCGACTGAAAGATGGTTTAGTCACCCTAATTTCAACTTAATTCCCAAGTCGCACTCAAAGACCCCCAATTAAAACTGTATGTAATTTGAATATATTGCACTTGAGTATTTAGCACAGGGTACAAAGCCAATTAAGGTAACATAGTCAATGATAAGGCATTAAGGCTAATATATCTTCATGAAAAAAAACCCCATTTCACCTGACTTAATCTCTTTTGTGACCCAACTGAATGCCTAAAATGACCTTCATATATACCTGTATTAGACAATATGTTATGCTCTGTAAATTCCTCTTTTTATTTGATGTCTTTGAAAAGGTCTTTTAATAAGTGTTGGAATTTCGGGTGACTATTGCCTCATTTAGACGGTTTGTTGAACCTTTACACAAATGATCAGTGTTTTTTAGGTGAATTTGGGGCCTTAGAAAAGCCAGTTCGCATAAATATTTTCCCAAAATCATTACAAAGTCACCTTATTTTCACAAATGTTTTTTTTTTGTATGTGACATTTTCCCAAAGTCACAAGGCACATGCCCCTGTTGAAAAGAGGTAGAAAGATCACTGGTAATACATGCAAGTCTACAGCGAACCTCTGTTTGTATCCATGCAGTGCCCATATGTGACAGTTATGAGTCTCTATTATACTAATACATGTAGTTATATTTATATAACACCTTACATGTAATAATGCATGTTTAGACAATAATTAACAATAATGTTAATTATTTTCGTATATTGTATACACATGATCAGTCATACATTGCTTAAGGGTTACCTGTAATCCAAAATTAGCATGATTGCTGACTATATATAGAGCTATTTATAGTCTTTACCTGGAATATACATGTACCTGGTATACATTGTTCATGTACCGGTATTTATAAATATGCATATGTACACTACTGTATAACACATAACAGTAGGTCATATGCTAATCTTTATTTAGATATCAGTCTTTAGAACAATAATTACTATTAATAGCCACTAAGTCACTGTCATGGGTTAATAATTTTACTATTATATGGCAAATTATTTACGCGAATAATTCTAGAGAGAAAAAAACTGAATTATTTATGTATGCAATACCATGAATATCGCAATGTAAAGTCTTCAGGCGTGTAGCTGCCTATATGCTGACCAGTACACAGGTGAATCCACCAAAATTTCAAACAGTAAAACCAAACAAAATAAAATTGCTTAAGCTTGTCATCCTACCAAAAATATGCTACGGGCCAGACCTAGCTATCCCTTAATAAATCCACTTCAAGCAAGGGCTAGATACACGCCCTTGGTCTGCTTCCAAAATGTATTCGCTCAAGTGATTTTTAAAGTTGAAACAGAAATATGTAATACTGAATTTTAAATACCTGGTAATTATTTCTGTCTTTAATAAGATAGCCAGGTATATGACAAAACAGACATACTTTTTCAGGTGACTTCATGTTTACAAACAGGATTAATTCTATTAATGAAATTCTGCACTCTGATCCATAAATAGCAGCACTATCTTAGATCAGATCTATATATCTTAAATAGTTATAAATAGATCTGCATTGTTTCCAAATATAATGATGACTAGATGAATTGGTCTGATATAACTGGGCGAGGTTATATATATTGCTTGGGTGAAGGGCAGTGCTGTCATTTGGGATCAAATTAAAATACTTTGATGCATTTTCAAGGTCATTGATAGGGAATATGTTGAAAAACTTCAGAAATATAAGACCTTAGTTTAGTCCTTGACTTGTAGCTTGCTGAAGTGGATGACTCAAGTTACAATTTATTAAGTTGAATGATCTTGATCCATTTTCAAGGTCAAAAGTGTCAAATAAGTTTAAAAAAATAATAATAATACAACAAAATATTGAGTGGTCACTTGAATATGTATCTGTTTAGATAGAATTATTTAATGGGAAAAGTTTTACAATAAAAACATTAAATAATGAAATTCTTTTCAAAATCAGACAGTTTCATTACAAATGGAATACTTTTATACAAAAAACTGACAAACATTTCAATTAACTTGTCAAACTGTTTGTTTTACCTAGGACTCCACAGTCTGGTCAAACCATCATCGGAGGAACAGCTAGCTGTCGAATGTCTTTGTAATCATCTTCAGCATCTCAAAAATCATGATAGCCATTTCTATGAAAACCAATCTTTCTTGTCGGAGACCCAAATATTTCTTGAACGCCTCCGTACGGTATGTACACCAGAGAGTTTTGACACCGTCCAAGTGCCTGGCTGGTTGCCATGCCTACAGAGTCTCATTGTGACCGTGTCAGAGACCCTGTATGTTGTGCTGTCATCCTACGTTTGTAAGAAGGCTGCAGACGATGTTATTGTCATACCTTCCAGAGCAAAAGATCAGCTAAAGGAACTGCTGTTATGGATAAGAGACATCCAAAAAGTGGTGGTCGCAATGCAACACGGAATGGTTGACATGATGGAGGCTAAGGAGTCGAGAAGCGCTGTTCCTGTTCGGGACTCGCAACAACTGGCCCATCGATCCCAGCATGCACTGGACATGTTAGAGGGGTGTCATGTCCTATTGGCTACGGTTTTAGAGATGGTTGAGAGGAAGTGTACATTTGAAGTGCGGTTCTTTAACACAGCCTCTGTTACTGTGGGCACTATATCCGTTGGTAAGTATTACGATTACCTGTCTATAAAGACCACCTCCCTATAAATACCTTGTAAAGTACTGTATCCAAAATGTTATTTTCAAACAAGACTCTCACCTATACAGCCCACCTGTCAATATACAATTACTCCGCTCAGGCTACCAATCACATTTCCTGCAATTTGCAAAGTTTGATCACTAAGTTGCGAAAACGAAATTGTCGTAAATTTTCTGAAATCAATTTATCCAATCAACAACATCCTATACTTTGCTTTAGAGATGTAACTTCATTTTAATTAGCTATAGGTAATGTACAATATCATGGCAAAGCCACCTCCAAGTATCAGCGAGGCTACAGGTGTGTACAACTGTACATGTTTATGATGTAATTGAGGAAGTGGAGGTTACAGGTTGTTTGAGGTACTCTCTGAGTGTTGGATTGATACAGATATATATGCAAACCATGTGCAGCTGTCAAAGAAATTGCAGACAAATGATACAAACCCCCTATCCATCCACCAGCCCACCCATTACCTAATGATATATACTAGCAGGGATCTGGCTATTACAAGATTGTTGAATGCAGTTTTGGGTTTAGATCGACACATCTTTTAACAATAATTGCATGCGTTACTTACTAGTACAGTAATATTGTCATGTAATCGATAATTGTTAGGGATTAATTGGTTAGTAGACCATATGTTACTCTAAATCATTAGAGCATACAGCTGGAGAACTGTGTTTTGAATAAGCCTCGGTGAACTGTAATACTGTACGTGTCATCATTGATTCGTCAACAGCTACATGCGTGTGACCTGTATACCACTGTATGCAATCTACAGAGGTTAATAAGGACATTCATCTGTTGCTATGGTTGAAAGTTTACAAGGGAGATAACTCTAATAAATATGTTTAAAGGAGATAAAAGTTATACTGTTTATATAATTAAAGGATGTAACTTAATAAGTTACATAAAGAAATAATAGTTAAAGGGAGATAATTCTAACATATCAGATGTGATTAACCAACATCACAGATAAGGGAGGTAACTCAAGCACAACATGGCCAAAACCCAGGCTTCATTGGTTGAAATCACACAAATGTTTGATAGTTTGGCTGTTGACAACATATTTCAGTCATCATAATGATTCAACATTCAAAGAAAATATTGATCTTTAAGCAGTTATAGAACTTTGAAGCATTGATATGGATTTTAATATGAAATGAAGAATTAACATCTTTTAACTCTAGTCTGCTTTAATTTATTAATTACATTACAATAACCGAAACCGACATGTTATTAACAGCAAAAACATAAGTAGTTTTGCCACAAATCGAGAGAAAAAACATGTTTAACATCCTACTATGGTCATATAAGGACGTGTTGGATTGATCCTAACACCTCTGTAGATTAGATCAATACAATGTCCTCACTAGCTGCTGGGTTGCTGGTCTGAGGCCTACATAGGGCAGTCACAAGGTACTGGTTGTAGGTTGGTGATTTCTCTTTGGATACCTTTGTTTTCCTTCACCACAACCACAGGTGACACCTTCCTTAAATGACCATAGCTGTTAATAGGACGTAAAATACAAACAAACCAAACCAAGCCCATGCAATGTGTTCAGTCAAATTATTAATCCAGATACAATATTGGGTATTGTACATATTACATTCCATCATCCAGCCAGTATTCATGTCTTTTTTTTATGTCAGATTGTTCCAGTAATCCATGCATGGCATGTCTATGTTTCAATTCTCTTTAACTGTTACATACCAGTACATTAAATTCAAAATTGAACTGTGACCTTTTGTTAGCATTTCCATCTTTGGAAAATTATAGGTTGATGACTTTTAAAGGAAAATCATATTGACTACTAAGCTTGGTTCCCTTTGTAGCAACAAGACCTGTTTCTGGAGCAATGGAGGCGTTCTGTTTATGTTTGAGTAACTGTTTGTAACAGGTGCTTTGTGGTTCTAGTTCGGGATTTACTTTATATGATGTTTGGCTGCAAGTGTATAACCTTCTCTTTGTGTGTTATGTTTTAGGTAGATTTGCTTGGAGTCTATGGCAAGGAGAAGGGCTTGAGGAGGTCATCCACGCTGGTCTGTGGTCAACATGTATGGGGTTTACAGCTGCCCTATTTCAGGTCCCTAGGGTCAGGGTGACAGACATCCAGACCCAATTGGTCAGACATCAAAAGTTACGAAAGAAAATAAAGAAAATGTCCGCTGGTTGGAAGAAAAACCAGGACTGGTCATACGCAAAGTTTGTACATATCCCGTCCCCTAGAAATGGCGCTCGACTGTGAAGCAGGAAGCTTGATACCATATTTTATTAACGATAAGCTCTTGTTCTAGATTTTAAAAGATCTTATCCCTGTTAATTCTGTAATTAGAAACTTAGTCTTTGGGAAACAGTTACTTTGAATCGAAATCAGTTAAATTTTACCATAGGATACTGTATACCAAATTAATTCTAAAAAGCAACTTAACCAACAAGTTGTAATTTTCATGTTTTGAATATCCTAGTGATACCTGTAGGACATTTTATGTATTTACCCAGCTATCGAGCAGGTGGTCCTGGTCAAATCATGTCAGCTGATGGAAAAGCTATCATTGTTTCTTCAGTAATCTATGTTTAAAATGTCCGGTTTTTAGAACCAGAACCCAGTTATTCTAAGATATGATTGTGTAATCAGTTATTCTGGTGTACATGTATACCTTATTGATATACCTGCCTCTGATTCATTCACATGATATCATGATGTCCTTCATTGGCTAGACCAAATACATAACTACAGAGTTTCTTCTTAAGAACTTACATTCCAATATCGGACTTTGTGGAGGTAAATGCTTTTCATATGGGCAAAGATGCTAGCCAGGTTCTAACATATTGAAATTTCTGATCATACTTTGATGCTCGTTTCACTTCTTAAGTTGTCAAAGAAACTGGTGTGACTTTCTTTTGCAACAAACGAATATATACATCTTAGTCATTTGGTTAAACTTCTCACTTTTTACGTTTTCGAACGTAACAGTGACAGTTATAATATTCGGTATCAAATGTACCTCACCTAATGCTTTTTTGGTTGCATACATAGCACCCATTGTACAATTTTCGTACATGTTGTTGACTGTTTGCTGTAGAGGTATTCAAGCAGATTATGGTCAGTCCTTAATTCAATAGTGAATAGTGCCACTCTGTCAATCTTAGATACTTACTATTCTGCTGTTGAATAAACCGAAACCCAAAGCTGCTGCTCACAACCCCACGCAAAAGGTTTGTTCTTTGTCGGCTCCTATGCAAAGCAGATACTGCATGTAGCCAGATCAGGACTAAACTGTTAGTATTACCTCACTCGCAGTTTCAGGTTCTTGTGCATTGAGATTATTTTTTCTTTGACTTTAAGCTGGTACAATACATACCCTGAGTAGAACATTTCCAATGAACTTTTTTTTTTCATTCGGCATGCTAAACTTTCACGTGGAAATGTTCAAAGTAAGACCTGAATCATGCGAGGCTAATTGTATCACAACTCTCTCATCATGTTTACACTTTCAATAAATCGTTCTTGTTTCTCTGATTGTTCCAACGCTCTGCCACTTCCATAAGTTGATGTAGTGTTGGCATTTTTCTAATGCAAGGTATATGTTAAATCACTGGTTAGTATAAATGTGAATGTGTACACATCTGATACTTTGAATAACTGGGTCAAGTTTTATATGAGCTGTACATACAGTAGTCAGGGAATTGTTATTGTTAGTCTTTAACTTTCTAAAACTTATTACATATATATACATTATACTTTAAATGTATCTTTTTCATAGATTTTATATAATATTATCTGGGAGGCACGGTAGTCTGGTGGTAGGATTGAGCAAGATACTTTACTCCGCTTGTTCATTCCAAGTTTGAGTGAGATGGCACTTTCTTAGGCACAAAAATTTGAGCCTGAGCATGAGAATATTTTCATGAATGTGGAGCCTGGTGTTAAATATGGGGCCTTGTGTAGCTATAATTTTGAATAGCAGTCTCACTTTACCCTAAACTGACATTACTTTTGCTTCACTAACGTTTGTCTTCCAGATTATTGATAAGTTCACCCTCAGATTGTTTTACTCAACAGTGTTTTTTCTCTTTTGTTGAATTTGACTTCACTTTCAAGAACGAATAGGGTGCTCAGGATTTCATTTCGTTTCTTTATTTGCTGAAGTTTTATAACTTTTGGCAAACATTTCTAGTTTTACTGTACCTACTTCATACATATATACATATTTTGTACACAACATTTGTACAGCACTCTTTTTTTGTGTTGCAAACTTTTCATTTACTAGAACTTGTATATGTTTTCTATGATACCCGAGAAACTTTTATATATTTTTTGTGATTTATTTATAATTTGATTCCTATTGCGGTGCTTTGGTTTCTTGTAAACTCAGTTTGATTATAAAACAATATTTCATGTTAATTATGATAACCAAGAAGGGTATTTAAAACAAGATTTTCATTTTAATAACAATAATCAGAGGGAATATAAAAAGGTATATAAAGTGTTGTAATGAAGATCAGAACAAATACAAAAATGTATATATGTTACATTTCTTACACAAGTGCTTTTGCTTAACTAAGAATAAATATATTGTGTGCATCTCCTTTTTGAAGAGTTATCAATGAGGAAATGTGTTGAATACTTTTATAAATAGGTTAATTTTGATTTGATTGATGAATTGAAGATACATTTTCATGGTACTTTTTAAAGAGGTAAACCGAGGACAGTTTACAAGGGAGATAACTCTAATAAATATGTTTAAAGGAGATAAATCTGACGATCCGTGTAACTTAATAAGTACATCAAGAAATGATAGTTGAAGGGAGATAGTTCTAACATATCAGGTGTGTTTAACTCTAATGCTCCAATATGATGTACAGGATATATATATATATGTATATAAATATAACCAACATCACAGATAAAGTAGGTAACTCAAGCACATAACAAGTTTGATATATATATATGGTAACATGCTTTGTACATCATAATATGTGTCTGAGGAAAGTGTCCTTAAGGTGACAATCTAAAGAAAATTGAAAGCTTGTGAATTCATTACAGCTTCTTCTTTGATTGATTATCAGTTCATAATGATTTTATATTTTTGTTGTTTTATCGGTTATTGATGTTATTTGGTCAATTTCTATATTGACTAGAAACTTTGTACATTTGTTTTTAAAATATTGTGATTTGTATGCTAAATGGCAATATTAATAACAGTATACATGATCAGAATAAGGATGGTAATTTTGTTGTTACTATCAATTTTCTTAAGGTTATCATTACGTTTAATAAAAGAACAAATCAGGGTTTTGGACATTTTATCTTATATTGATTAAGCAGTCATACAGCAATATATTGCTTTAATATTAAATTGTTATGTATCACTCCAGCAATTGTTCAAAATGACAACTTTTTGTTGTGATTTTTCTTTAGTGTAATTATTTCTTTGTAAGATGTGTGCATTGTTGTTGATTTGTAGATTGATGTTGATGTATATTGGTTTTGTTATCATAAAATGCACAGTTCTATTTTAAAAATAGACATATCAGTATCTTTCTAGATACTTGTTATCTGTATGTAGTTATTGTATGTTATGTTATCTTAAAAGGGTTATTATTAATTGAAGATCATATATCTATATCAATTGGTATCCAGAGGTTAGTAATATATAGAGGTTTTACATTTATTGCCCTTCTTTTCTTCTCCAAATTCATCTTGAGGACATGGAATCATGTTTCCGCTATGCAAAGGAAATAAATATTTTGTTATAACTAAATAAAATAATAACACCAGTGAAGTTGGGGAGGCCTTTGAGCTAATGTTGTTATCTGCTTCAGTCATGCAGAATGCAGGTTTGGTGTCTCTTGCTTATTTTTCTAGAGAGGCTCTTAATAAGGAAAATATGACCAGGGAAATTTGAGCATGCGAGGAAACAAAATGTATTATTTCCCTTTCATGTGATCAATATAATCAGACCATCTGTAAGATGAAGTATAATATAATTGTTATCTGAAGGTAGTATGGATATATTAATGAGATAGTATGGCTTTAGTGGTTGGTAGAAATGTCGTACTATGTTATCTAAAAGTAGGGTGTAATCTATCAAAACCAAACACCACTGCCAGGGACCAATATTGTAAATCTCAATCAACAGAGTTTGTACAAATTCATTGACAAAGACATTTCTACAATGGGTTTAACCCTTTCACCACTGTATACCATAATGGACTTATCCAGATCAACGCATGGTAGAGTTAATTAAAGTTACATAGGAGTGAAAGGGTTAAGCTAAAAAACCAATATAAAAGAACTTTAGACAAAGATTGTATATGCAATAATCCAATAAAGTGATTTGAGTTTGAAAAACGCCAATGAAATCTTCCATAAGAATATAAATTGCCCAATTATCATTTTGCAACTTTTTCTGAAAAAATAATTACTCTGTTATAAGTCCTTTTAAGTTGTTGTCTGAATTGTATTGATTTCAGTTACCCAGATAACATTGTACACAGACATACCTACTTCAGATGGAATTGTGTAAAGTGAACTTGTATGACAGCTAACAAAACCATTACCAATGTTAGTAGTAGCTGTTATATATCCTTTGTTAAGTTTTTATTTGTTAAATGTTTTACCCTTGTTTGTCTTGTTTTACCCTTGTTTTACCCTTGTTTGACCCTGAGTGTGAGTCAATAGTAATTTTAATATATATATATATACACAGACCTACATAGCTAGTATAAACAATTTTGTAAATTTTTATAGATTTTTTTTCGGAAAAAAACACCTCCTGCAGCAATATTTTCCTATTTGTGAAGTAAATTTCAAATGTATCAAGTTCCATAATGTAACAGGTTTATCAAACGGCTATTTACTATTTTCATTTTTTGTTACCGTTGGTGATTGTCTTGAATACCCCAAAAGTAACAGATTTCTCCAACACCTTGATTGGAATTAACATGTAAGATTTTGTTTTAATGATATCAGAATTCCTAATGCTGTATATAAATACATAAATAATATTAATGAGAAACAAATTTTTCCAATGTTAATATTCTCGTTCATGTAAATGAAATTGAGTCTCTGTTGACTTGTAATAGGATTAATGGAAGTACATGGTGATAAAAAAAAATAAAAAAATTGAGAACCAATATTATAATAAGATCATATGTTGAAAAGATTACGGAACTTGATACACCCAATCTGGTGACAACCACAAAGTTCTATTGTATACACTCCATCAACTCTCATTGAACGGGTACCTTGTAATAGGCAACCAGCAATTTAGCCTATATTTTCAAAATTTTGTTTTGATGTTATATACTTGTACATACAATGCAATGAGCTGCCATATATAAATGTTAAATGTTTATGAGTGTAGTTATGTATTATGGGTTGATTTTTTCAGATTGATCTCTGATTTCTTGAGCTTTGCCTTTTTGTTTTTGTTCTCTACATTGTAAATAAAGATTTTTTAATTGCTTTAGGTTCAGGGATTTGTAATGTACAGATAATGAGTAAGACAGTGGAATGCCAGTTGTGATATTTTGATAAGCCTATGAGATCAATTATAGGTAGCACTCTCCTTATGATAATAGACATCTATCAGAAATAGAATGTACAATTTAATTGAAGCCTTACAGTGAGTTCTGATAGTATGCAAATATATACTTCTTTCGAAAAAAAAAAATGCCATTGGTGGCCATGATGTTTGATATAATAAATATTCAAATAATTTTAGAGGAAATTTACTTTAAAAAGAAATAGATTGACAATGTAATACAACCGATAAGGAAGATAACTGCAACAAATAAAAACAGTAACACAACGAATTCTCCATGGGCAATAGCTATGGTGTACTAGATGAATGAAGAAGAGACATATTGGTCAAAAGTCAAAATACAATTAACAATGAAAAAGACCTATGAATACAAGTTGTATGTTCTTAAGTAACTTTCAATTTATGTTCAGTTTATAAAGAATTCGTTATTTTAGAGGAAGATAAAAATGGATGTGAAATATTTCCAGTATTTCCTAAAAAAAATCTGTGTCAAATAGTAAAGGAAAAAGCAACAAAAACTGATATGTAGTATTTTAGATTTTATTGTAGACGAATTATAGATAAAGAATTTCATGTTACGAATCCTAAAAAAATGACTGGCAGGATGTTTGTCACTTTATATAGAGAAATAATAACGGAGAGTGCTGCCTTAAGTGGAGGTCACATTTAGCAGAAATGGGGCGTTTCCAACTACATATATTAAATTTAGCTGGTAAATGTATACACATTTTCCTTTCTTTTCAGATGAATGGATCAATTTCTTTATTACCATGTATACTATTATTTACAGTTCTGTACTAGCTAAATTCAAATACATGTGTTTTGGATAGTGTGTGGTGATCTAATATTAATTATGATAATTGCGCGACGTCAGATATTTTGATGTCGGGACAGAAGTGGCATTGTATGATTTACATCACGCTGATAAAGTGTAATAAATAGGTGAAAAAATTATCTGATTGAGATGTGATTTGTACATGGTAACATTTTTAAGCCATGTAAAATTTTGAGTTACTCGAACCGTACTTAACCTATGGAGATGTTTGGCTGATAAAAGGATACAATCTTAACGTCAAATTATTATAATGTCCTATTGGATCAAACGTAAGACAATATATAACCGAAACGTCCGGAGAGAAGGCCGTATAACCGAAACGTCCGGAGAGAAGGCCGTATAAATGGAACGTCCGGAGAGAAGGCCGAATAACCGGAACGTCCGGAGAGACTTATGTATGCAAACAACTGGCCATGTTTTAATGGGACTTAAAGAGACACAACCTTAGACCAGACACGTATGTAATACATGGCTCGGGTGAGACAGTGCAAAAATGTGACATCAAGAGAGACAAGTGGTAAACACTTAACAGAGACAAAAACGGTTGACAAGTGTATAAATGTGACGTCGTGAGAGACTCAGTAGACCATTAATATATGTGACGTCGAAAGACAAAAAAGACAATGTATTAACAGAACGTTTAACGATAAACTTTAGACATTGTATTGCATCACGTAGAACCAAACTTTGAAAATTGTATGAACAACTGGGACGTCGAGAGACAAACGGTAGACAACGTATACATTTTACAAACAACAGACATATATTGACGTTACGTCGCGAGAGACATTGTAGAATATTATTAATTGCGGCAACTGCACCCATATCTATGAGATCTGCCGCAGTAAATGGAAGAAGAAGAAGTATATGTTACGTCGCGAGACAAACAGACAATGCCTTAACCAATTGCAACAAAAATGTATTCATAACTAGGACGTCGAAACTCGAGAGACAAACGGTAGACAATGTAAAAATGTGACGTCGAGAAGGTCGAACAAGAGACTTGTTTTGACATTTCGTCGAGAGATGAATATATCGTTGAGAAAAACAATTGTTAGACAATGTATAATTGTGACTTAAGAGTTAAACGCTAGCCAATGTATTCACTCGATAACGTTAGAGACAACCGATGATTAAATTAGTACTGTAGAACATAAAAAAACAGGATATAAAGATTCCAAACTAGTATTCGCCTTTCGAAATGTTATTAAGGTCGGCACGTTTTGACGTAGTACGCTATTTACTTTGAAGTTCGTCTCATTTCCAAAGAAAAATATTAACAACCCTGATATCAGTGGCAATTTGGTCTTTGTTCTGCTGTAGTCACTGATGAATTTGAAAGATTTGAAAGTTGGAAAAATGAACGCTCATAAACGAAGAGGTCGAATGGGCCTGTACACAACAATTAGTTTCTGTTGTTTATTTCAACTTGACAAGAAGTTGGATAGTTTGTTTCCGCTAACTTGAGATAATAGAGGCAATCTCAGACTTTGTTGCCACGAATCATTTAACCCTTTCATCCTTATGTAACTTTAGTCGACCCTACCATGCATTGATCTGGATGCGGCTGTTATGGTCAATAGTTGTGAAAGGGTTAAATAGCAATATTTGGCGAGGGCAATGACAGAGACATGTGTATGTGTGGTTAATATTGATCGGGAAGTATTGAGAATCGGGCAAAAAATATCATCGAAACAGAGGACAGTAGCAGCCTTGGACTAAGAACAATGATAACTCCCGTTCAGGACCACGAGAGTATAATAAGTCTGGCTGCCATTTGACTGGTGAAATTTAAGAAGTCGAGGACGTTGTAGTATGTCTGAAACTTTAAAGTTATTGGTCAGTGCTATATATATTTATATATAAAATATTAAAATCGGCCTTATGGATATGAAAAGTCACAGAAGATAAACCAATCGGAAGTCAAGACGGCCATTGAGGATATCAACTGTTTACTGAATTAGATATGGAAATGATCATTTCCCCTACTGAAGAAAAAATAAAATTATAATTTTCTCTTTGTGTCCCACCTTTCAGCTCAAAAGAGAGACACTCCCTTCCTTTATTCAAGGATGAGTTCTTAACCTCTCCTATAGGTCTCCACTTCTTTGTCCCCAAACAGTCACAATCTCCATGTATTGCAAACAACAATGTCTTTCAACTAATGGTAAAGACGGTCTGGAGTACCTGCCGGTCTCGATTGCCAGGGGTAAGTTTACACTGCGAAATGATGAAACTACACGCCTATGTGATCTTTGTATATTTTGACAATAATTACAATAAGTTTATATAATAATACTAATTATTTGGTGAATGACCCTAGCGACTAAACAACGACTGTTCTGAGTACATCTTGACTAAATTAGATGAACAGACCACATGGGCTTTGTGAACAATGTTTACTTGCCGAAATATACGCGATTTAAATTCCAATTTAATCTGCCTTGCTACTTCCAGTCGCCATTTTGTAAACAGGACCTAATCTCGAGCTGATGCGCGTTTGAAAGAGTTTAAAGTATTGTAAAGCTTTTAAACGATCGTGCCCAGAACATACTCTCTAAGGATGATGTTTTTTGATAAATTTACTATCATGTTTTTACTATATTTCCTTTCTGTATCACTTTCATTAATTCATAAAAGAACAAAATTATTTTTTCCCGTTCAAACTTTTTTCTTTCAAATGTTAAAACACATTTTTTTGGAAAAAATGGTCTAGTTTCCAGATTATGATCAAACGTCGTCTGCTTCGCAAACATTCAAGAAAATAATATTTACAATGTATTAATATTGTTTATGTTAACTCGTTTATTCTTTAAACTATCTTTAATTAATAAATTATCAAGATTTTGTAAAATTGCATTTTTTACGTAACCGGAAGGTTACGAGAACGTGACCCGGAAATACCTCGCAACATAATCAGGATGGTATACGGTTAAAACGGCCGCACTGCAGTAACGGCCCTAGTAAAAACGGCCCTAGTTAAAACGGCCCCACTTTATATATAGTATAGACTAGTATAGTATATACTGTATAGTACTGCAAGTACTACAAGTGCGTAATACAGGTACATAACTTGATATTATGTTAATAAAGTTACATGCACTGTACAGATAAAAACATTATAATTGTGTTTGTGTTTTCCTTGATAGTTAACCCTCCTCAGTCTCAAATACCTTTGCAATGGTGTTTTCTACTTCAGTGTTTAATTCAATTTAATTTAATTATTTAGAGAAAAGAATTAATTAAAAAACTTATTGAATAGCATTTGAAAAAAATAGTTACAATATTAACTAATAATAATTTAGATATGGGAAGAGGGTCTTTCTTGTTTAAACAGAGTACCTCGGAGTGACTCAATTAAAACAACAATTAACGGGATTGGTCAGAGGGTGTAATACTTGGACGAATGTATAACAAATTCTTCACATATCATTTGAATTTGAATAAGACTTTCAACCATGAGACCAGCATTGACGAACTGTTTAGAGTGCGACAGTGTTATTCGACCTGAACAGCATGCAGTTACCACTGCAGTGCGATTGCTGTAGTAGATGGCAGCATAGAACTTGTGGTACCGGTAAGTGATATGAAATATATATAAATGTCAATCACAGAAATACCCAATTGATACATTACCGTGCATGGTAAGATAGGATGATTTTATATAAAAGATAAGAAGACATAATCTTACTGTTGTATAATTGTTGTTGTTTAATTTAGTAATTGTCAAATTAATCATAACGTTATAATTGTCTATTTATTGAAATATACATCAATGTTCATATATATATACGTCCCGAATGTTACCTTGTGTTGTATTCTAGCACATCAGTGTCTCAATACATACGGTATTAATCTGTTAATGTTCGATACACGTCAGTTTTTTATTTATTGTGATTAAAAGCTTGCGTGTATGTTTTTTTATCTTAAAACTATCGGATAAAAGCATAGTGGAATGTTACATCAAAATACAAGATACAAGAATCATTATTTTACGTTGAATATATGTCATAGTTAACATAAGCTCTCAGGAGCTTGTAATAATAATAATAATAATAATAATAAACTTTATTTATTGAGGATACAAAACCTTTTTAGCAAAGATAATCTTCCACAGGGTCCTCTGTTAGTAAAATTGGTTGGTTAAAAGACGAAGTAGTATCACAGCAAATAAATGTACATAAAATAATTGTTGGTATTACTAAAACACCAATTCATATCACAGTTATTTCATAATTTAAACGGTTGTTCAATACTATTACAATAATATTACCACAGAAGCAACGAAACATATTCCGTGCTTAACCCATTATGGTTTTCATTAAAAGACAATTTGTCTAATTAACATATATGCTAATGTAGCAAAAGCTAAAAATTGACAGAATACACGCTAACATAGCGAAAATTAAACAAATCAAAGCTGTATCTACAAAGTATAATAGTAAAAATAAAAGACAATTAAACCGCATTCTTAATGTTACCAATCATATTTTGTTTGAATTTTGTCAAGGAGGAACAGAGTCGTACTTCAACCGGTAAATTATTCCAAATCTGGCTCCCTTGTACCAAAAAGTGTTTGGAATAAAATGTGGTACGGTGTTTGGGTACCTTGACAGAGTTTTAGGATGCTGATCTAGTATATCTGTTGGTACTATTAATACACACAGCCAAGGTCAAGGCCGACTTGTCCCGGAAGTGAGGCCCAGTACAGGGTAATCCACCTGGAGGCGCGGCAAAGGGAGTGTATGCATATATGTATGTAAGGATAATGTGTACGGTAACTTTGAATGTAAGTTTGAATGTAAGTAAAAATATTAACTAAGGCAGTGAAAAAATAAAGAAATAATGATATAATTACTAGTAAGTATGAAAGAAAGTATGATAGCCCTCTTGTATGAGGACACATGATTGTGAAGATGCTGATCCCGGGGCTCCCCAACCTCGGCAGTATCATAAATGTGCTGGGGAAGTAAAATGTTTGAAAAAAAACAACAACAAAAAACACAACACTCAGATCCTACACTTACAAAGGGATACACCATCGAGGTCAACACTACATTCAGATCCTACACTTACAAAGGGAAAACGCCATCGAGGTCAACACTACATTCAGATCCTACACTTATATAGTATAAAACGCCATCGAGGTAAATACTACATTCAGATCCTACACTCACAAAATAAACATAGTATGCTGCATCAACATCAACTACGGGTTGCTAGTAATATACTCTAATATTCACCGGGATAGCTGTTTTCCTATAACATCTGACACAATTCGAAGTGACCATTTTGTATAAATGTATATAGTACCCCAGCCACAGCTGTTATTCACACTCAACACTACACAGAAACTCATCGTGATAAATCTATTTACAACAGTTTACATGATGTTTCGTATTAATTGTTACTTAATTATATTAATTGTCCATAATACCTCTATAAGCGAACAGATAAACAAAGATTTCGTTCAATGCTTAAAAAGTAAAATTGTATTCAGTTAATTTATACAAAAAAAAAATCTGTTCTCATACCAAGCATTCTACTCAAAGTTGTAAATTGTATTATACGTATAAGAGTTAACGTTATCACGGAGCCCCCACTCTGACATGTACACACTTTGTTTATTTCGTTTTATTAAACTACTATTTCGATGTAACCAATTATTACTTTTCAAACTACTATGATTCTCTTGTGGTTTGATTTTACGATATTTCTTTAGTTTATGATAAATCATAACACGGAATTAGAGGCTATCTAAGTCCGTGATCATACCAATATGGTTTAATGTTTAACATAAGTCTTTAATTAATAATAAATCCAACCATTATGGTTTTGCTTTAACATTCATTGTTTGTTTATTTTATTTATACCATTATAGGTTATTTTTTACGATAGGTCTATAGTTTATAATTAATCATACAATTTTGGTTTAATGCTTTACCAAACATCTGTAGTTTGTTTAAATCATAACAATGCGGTTAAATTTTCACGACACATCTTTAGGTTATAATTGATCATAGTGAAGTGATTGTTAGAATGAATAAATGAATACAAATGAATGAATGAGAAACCTCTTACATGAGGACTAAATACAGGGCCCCAGGGTTTCAGTTAAACCATACATCTTTAGTTTATAACCAATCAAATCATTATGGTCTAATTTTTACCATATATTTTATAAGATAGCACAGCACGGTGATACGCATAGGCATTTCTATTGACTATTACTATCCTTATTATTATAATGAATTCATTGTAAAGTGGTTGTCAGAATGAATGAACGAATAAAAAGGAATGAATGAAAAAAAAAAAAAAGTATATCTGTTGGTAGACAAATTAAATTGATTAGAAAGATATCCTGGAACTAGATTATTTATACATTTGTACACCATAACACCTCTTTTGAATTTCAAATATTCGCCAATTGGTAACCACCCTAATGAAGAAAACATTTCTACTGATGGTGTATCAAATGGAGCATCCAACAGTAATCTTGCAGCTTGTTTCTGCGCTTTTGACAGTTTTTGTAGAAGATTTAAAGAGCATCCGCTCCATACTGTGCTACTGTACATGAAGTGGGGAAAAATACATGCATGAAAAAATTTAAGTCTAGCTGAAAGTGGTAAATATTGACGGATGCGTCGAAGTAAACCCAAACCACTGTTAATCTTTGAAACAACAGATGCTATGTGATCTGACCAAGATAAACTGTTGTCAATTTTTACACCAAGAAGTTTTTCACTCTTTACTTGTTCAATACATTCCTGACCTAATGTTAGGCTTAGAGCATCATCTATTCTGTAAAGTTTCTGTTTTGTGGCAATAACCATACATTTTGTTTTATTCCTATTTAGAATCATTTTATTCTCATTACACCAGTCTTGGACTTTATTCAGATCAGTTTGAGTTTGACAAACATATGGTTCCACTTCAGGAGAGTTTTTATAAGTTCAATATGTCCTAAGTTTATTACTATTCCTCCTATTTCTCGTGTCAATAAATAGTTGATTCCTCCATTCCTCCGCATCTAGTTTTTTTTAATTTAAATCTAAATGTTTTGTAGCACACTTGTATGCTAATGTCTGATCATTGAGTATAGGATGACCATCAATGGAATCTATAAATTTATATACACTTGAATACCATCCTTTCCTTCTTCTAGATGACCATTTCATAGTTTTTTGTAGAAATTCTGTTGTCATCGACACGAAGTAGCTTGCACATAAGCCGTACACAAGGATTCGTTGTTTTGTATATTGGACATATACCGACCAACGGTTAAAAAATACCTACAGGCCTTGTTTTGCACTTTACTGATGACACATCCATCACTGTAAATCTAAGTAACGTTGTTTACACAAAACTAAAATTCTTGTTTCTTACAATCCCCGTTTGTATAGGTCATTGCCAGTTATGTGGACTTCTTATTTATATATACATAGAACATAAAATTATATGTTAAAATTTCGTTTTTTAATGATAATGGTGAAATATTGTTTACGTGATAAATACATGAAGTATGTGGTGTATATCAAACAATACAAAACTTCGATAGCCATTTAAACGTTACTTTATCTTCTATTAGACTATACAATGTAAAAAAAGCTGCCATAGTGAAGTAAGTTAACATATACATGTACAACTCTTAACCAATGCATATATCACAGTCACAATGATGAACATGTTTTAATAGAAAGATACTTGGATAAGCAAATATGTAATGGCCATATTGCGAACAACATTTGTTACGATATGTAGTTATACGAATATATATATAATTATTTTTATTTTGACGAAAAAGTGCTTTGCTTTTTACCTGAGATTGTATTTTTTTTTTATAAATTATCTGTTAAATTATTGCTATGTGGTGCTTTGAAGTTTACACAGGAGCACCATCCGAATTCAAAGCCAGATAATTTTACCGTTATTCGACCGAAATATGTTTTCGCTGTACATCAAAGGATCAAATTAGTCTTTTCGATCGTTTCATCCACAAGATGGCCTTCAATTTTGTCATGAAATATTTTAAGGTTGCAGAAAGCGAAGATGAGCGTAACCCCGCGAGTATTGAGGGTTATGTAATATTCAATGGACAGGTATCAGCCTAGCGACGGCGGTTTTTAGGATAGAGAGGACATGTATATCGAAAAAGGAAATCTTGAAAAACGAACACGGGATACTATGATTAGCAATTGTTTCGGAAGTCCAATATTGACGGTCGTGGTGCCGTAGGTGTACAAGGCCTGCTGTTAATGTCGGGGTACAGGGTTTCCATGGTTACTGCAATCAAAACAAAACACAGTTAATAATTATACGGTAATTAAAACTCACAACAAATATTTTTATTTATTTTTTTGCGAATGCCTGCTTGCATGAAACGAAAACCTTCAGTTTAAAGATAATTGCTCATCTAGTGGCAAAAACGGTTTACAAATGCCTTTTTTTTTTAAACTTAACCAGCATATCTTCTGGAAAGGAGATAACTTCATGACCTCCCTCGTCGAAATCAGAATGCATTTATACTGCTATGAATACAATTGGACTTGTTAGCTTCACAAAATACACATGCAATCATAATGCAAGTGTAGTCATTCAAAACATTTTTTCTTTAATATATGCAGGCAGGGCAATTATCATCAAAACTGTCATTAAAGTATTGATAGATTTGCTGTATTTTGCGATTTTAAATATATTTTTTGAAAATATTTATATCACCGATTTTGACTTTAAAAAAAATAATCTCCATTGGCTTAAAGAGAAAACAAGTCCTTAACAAATGAATAAAGATTTTAAGAATAACTGTATCTTATAGTAATTCATCATGATCATATGATTACTCTGTTTCAATAACGAAGCTACTTCCCGTTATAATATCTACAATGTGATGCTCCTGAAATATTTTATTTCATACGTCATATATAATAAGTACACAGGTTAATATGAATATTAATAGGATCTGGCAACAAGTTTTAAATGTAATATAAAGCCATCTCACTATGAAGTGCTTAATGTGTTCATTGAAAATGTTTATTCCTATTCCTATTACAGAGCATCCCTTATATGGTTATCAATTAGGATGATCGAAACCATTGTCACGATAACCACTGTATATTTTCATTTAAATAGACTGAAATGTCATAATATGCATATATTTTAATATTTACCTGGTTGATACAAAGAAACAAACTCCTGTTCACTTTCTGGAAAAAATACCAACACAATAGATTATTTTATATTTAAGGCAAGCAGATTAAATAGCTGTACATAAAACGAGATATATATATATTTATATAACTTAAGCAATGTTCCCTTAAATATATAAGAAACAGAAGTGACTACTAATTAATTACTTAACTATAGACACGGTCCTAATAACATAGATAATCATAGTGACCGTTACTACAATACACACTATCACTGCGAGTTTGTACACAGACTACTTACCGTACTTATCTAATGCATATGCACTCTTTATCCTTGCCGTTTCTGTGTCGTTGTCCGAAGGACTAGCAACTTGTTGAAAATAGAAAAAAAAGTCTTTATTTATTAATCTTGTGGAACTTGCAAGCTAACTAAAGCCTTCATATACATTTGTTGATCGTAGTTGTGGTGATAGCCTTTATTTTCCTTGAAACTTTATCGACATAATGTTTCAATACAACGTTCTTTCTCTAGATGACTTTGTAAATGCATAGCCATCCTCTGTTTTAGGGGTGTTGCTACCTGATTGTGGCATTAATCTCCTCTCTATAAGAAAGAACCTTTGTCTGTTTTGATTGGTAAGTTGGATGTTAAGACACATAATATGATTATAAGGAAAATAAGAATACTTACCTACACATATATATTGTTCTAATTATAAGATAATTCCAAAGAAGAGTTATATGGAAGGGCAATAACTTTTACACAAATTGTTTATACAATAGGTTAGGTAGCATAAAGCCTTAACATGTATGTTTATCATCTTAAATTATGCATTCACAACGCTACTTCAAAAGTGACAAAACGACTAAGGCTCATTTAAATGGCGTAGCATCTAAAATTGCATCATTTCCACCTCTGATAACTATTGACAAATAACCATATATACTCAGTGTATGTTAACATGCCTGTGTTTCCATACGAAAATGGATATGTATGTTGATATATGCCCAGTTTATGAAACGGAATTTTCAAAATGAGGGTATACTGTACCTAGTAAACATTCCTCATCTTTGCCAACATCCTTGCCACGCCGAGTTGGTAAATCTGAAAAACACAAGCGCTAGTTATACTATATGCTAAGTAGAGTAGCAATGCGTTTACCATTTCAATCATAGTAAATCATCAAATTTACTTGATAATATTTCACATAGTGGCCAGTGCTAAGTACCTACCTCGTGACATTTTCCTGATTTTGAGTACGCCGACGGTTATGATGACGAGTATGGCAATAAAGAAGATGACTTGGATTGCCATGGTTACTAACATTAATCTGTTAAATACATTATACAAGCAATGAAACATAAATCACATAATCCAGACATGATAAATGAAACTATAACATAGACACGTTTAGTCTCGACTAAGTGTCATATTTTATACAGTGAACTACAACATAGACACGTTTAGTCTCAACTTAGTGTCATATTTTATACAGTGAACAATAACATAGACACGTTTAGTCTCGACTTAGTGTCATATTTTATACAGTGA